CATCCCCCTCAAAGGAGAATCAGTTTGGTGTCTTCTTTCCCCTCACTCGTGAGGGGCCCACTGTAACTGCGTGAATGTTACACCACTCACCACCCATGCTGTCTCATTCTGGGCCAGATGCAATTTCTGAACAGTCTTCAAGGACTGTTGATGTCCCACAAGGAGCACACTACTGTATAATAATCCAGTGTTAAAGTTATCATTGCATAAGCCACTGAAGCCAGGTTTTTCTCCTCCAGACTGGATTGCAGTTAGTTTAGATTGTAGTTAGTTTAATAGCTGAAGCTGATAAATTATCCTCCTTGCCACTGATATTATGAGGCTGTCCAGCATCAAGACTGTAGAGGAAAACTATCAGAAGACTTTTGTACATCGAGGAGACAGGACTGGTGTGCCACAATTGTCTCTTCTGCTCTTGGGGTCTCCTGAGCCATAGTAGCTATAAAGGTTTATAAAGAGTTAAATTTATTTAGCTGAATGATGTTTTGCACGAATGGTTACTAGCTAAGGAAGGTACAACCTTGGAATTTGGGGAGTATACCAGGAACGATAAAGTGCTGTCCACCCGCTTTAGGTTTTAGCTTATCTTTTGGAGGAATATAAAATATCATAAGACATGCAAACAACAGGTGTAATTAATTATCATGCCATCCTTAGCTGCCCGTAGTGATCCTCTAAGTTAAGGATAAAAAGCCTCGGAGTCCTGATCTTGTGGGCTTCGATGCAGACCTAATTCAGGAAGGTGCTGCATGCTGGCTATATTGGGGTCTCTTCGTTGTCGTTACTGGGGCTCCCGACAACAGATTGAAGGAAGCTGCTTGCTTGGTAATGTATTAATGCCCGCATATTAATAAAGATCATTTAACTTCTCTCCACTTGTGTCTTCATTGGTTCTGAATCTTTATAACTATAAAAAAAAACCATTGCCTTTGGCAAAAGAAAGACAGATCCAAAATCACCCACCAACTGCAAATCTGATCTTTAAGGAAGAATGCATCCCATCCAGGACAGGCATTTATCTTGAATACTGAAGTCCAACCCTTGCAATCAGTAACAACTTGTCTTATCTGCACTGAGTTTCAATTTATTCTTCCACATCCAGTCCCTTATTTTCTGGAGGCAGAGGCCTTGGTGACATCTAACCCAGAGCCTGTAGGAAAGAAGTGTTTATTTTATTATTTATTTACATATCAAATTTGCCACCGCCCATCTCATTAGAAAGTGACTCTGGGCAGTTTACAAGAAAGATAAATATTAATTAAAAATGCAATATAACCATTGGTCCTAAATAAATATCTTCCAAGAATTGATGGTAGCTAGAAAGTATTAGGCTTGAGGAGCATCATCAGGGCACCAGCCACCCCCAGGGTTGGTTAAAACTCTGACATCTCAAGCATATCAATAACAACTAGCTTCAAACCTGCAAATAATCCTTCCCAGTGGCTTCATATAGATGTTAAATAACATGGGAAACCAGATGCAAATCTTATTTATACACTAACAGCCAATCCATATGTACCCCAACTGAACTACTAAACCCGGCCTATTTATCCACAGTCCACATGTATACTTGCAGGTCATGTACATAATGCTGTCTGGCTTTTGCCCCAGCTGCATTTGTCTCTCCCGTCAACTCTCACCCAGGGATAGATTATAAAATGACCTGTAACCAATCCCATGCTGTCAGCCAGGAACAGCCCAAGTATCCCTAGTAATATCCATACCGCTCCCTGGCAAAAGAGAGAAAGCCGTTTCCCTGAAACTCCTCAAAGGAGTAACCCCCAAGGCCAACCCCCAGCAGGGACTGTAAAACCTACAGGGACTGTCCCACCACATGTTCTAGGACTGAGCCAAACATCCATCCATCCTTGCAGAGGTCTCCAGACCAGGTGCTAAAAATATCCAAGGCACGCAGATGCAATGCAGGCTGCTGGTAGCGGCAGAACGGCAAGAAAGGAGGTAAAACGGCTAGTGCTCTGAGGCCTCCCTGGGGACTGCCACTCTTTCATAGACCTCCTTGCCAGGTGGCAAAAATTTTGGTGGGAAACACTTTTAAGATATTCTGATATGCCAGCCTTCGCCCTTGTAAACGTCCATTCTTCATTTTGATTGTGGAGTAGGCCGTTGATCTTGATAACACTGGATTCAGTTTTTGAAAAAGGGACCATGAAAACAGCAGTACTGTACAAGATGGACCAACCAGCACGAACCAGATTTTTTTTGTCCCTAAAATAAGATGCAAATAGCATATGACAAAGTACAGAAGAAAAAATGCATTACTGCAGCACATTATTTAAACATGGTGACATACGGATGCTCTATATATGTTATATCCACATGGAAAAAATATATAAGCAGAATGATTATGTTAAGAATTTGTAGAAATCCAGAGATAGTAGAAATTCCATTTCCCCCTCTAGATTTGGAGCAAATGTTTGTTTAGGACTTTTTTTTTACACTAGCATAATGTCCATATGGAAAGTTCTTCCCCATTCATGGTTGCAAAAGCAGACACAATTTTATCCATTTAGCTATGGCTATATTTTCCCAATATATGTAGGTCTCGATTAGTGCTGATAAAGAATCCCACAAAATGGTTGCATTATTCAAATTTATACTATTCAAAGTGATATTTCTATGGAAGATAAGGTAACTGGTTCCAGTGTGACAGAAATAGGCAATGAAAATTTTTAAACTTAAATTTTTATATGTTTATTAACGAAACACAACAGTAAGAGACTACAAGAATAGTTGGTAATGAGGAAGTGGTAGCAAGATTGCTACCTAGACTACCCCTCAGCTTTTTTACATGGTTTTATTGTTTATTATTACTTTCTAATGGAGTATAACCTGCCATGAGATCTTCTGGATGGATCTCATAAATATTTAAAATAAATCAGCTAAACAAAGGACATGCTGGAAGATAAACCCATATCCAAAGTGTACCTGCTATCTCCTGTAGTTCTTCAAAATGAGCCTCTTTGTTTCTGAGCTTTCCTTGAATGGAACTTCCTGTTCTCCATTTTGCACACACAATGATTAGCATCTAGAACCCCAACAGCAACTAGCATGTACTAGCCTCAACTGCACACGTGCTACCCTTGCATTAACTGAATTTTATAGTCTTTTTATGTATATAGTCTTTTATATAGTGTTTTTTTTAGCTAATTTAATGTGGATATTTATATTTTTTACTGTTTTTGATGTTTGATTTTAATTGTGAGCCACCTAAAGTCATCCTCTGGGGGAGATGGGCAGCATATAAATTAAATAAATAAATGAATGAATGAATGAATGAATGAATGAATGAATGAATTTTGGCTTGCATTAAATTCGACCTGGTATTAATTTATACTTTGCACTCAGTCAAATATCACACTATTCAAACTCGCATTAATCACGACCTACTTGTACACTGAATCATAAGTTATCTAATAGGTTCTAGGGCAGTATTTCTTAAACTTTTTTTCTCTCAAGATCCCTTCCCACTCTTAAAAATTATGGGAAACCCCAAAAGAGCGTTTGCTTCTATGAATTACATTTATCAATATTTACCATATTAAAAATTAAAATTGATACATTTGCCACAACTACCTCTTCTCACAATTGTTTGATGGGATTTTAATATTGTATTATTTTTTAACATAGGCTGGCAAATAATTTTGATTTCGCGGACCCAAGGGGGTCTTGGGGGACCGCCAGGGATCCTCGGATCACACTTTGAGAAACACTGTTCTAGGGAATCTAACCTGTGTGCTTACTTTAGAATTTATTGGATTCTACAGATCCAGAAAACTGGACTAATTCAGTCAACAATGACCAAGTTAATAAGGGGTGAGCACCTCTTTTAGATTGCACTCCCACCCTACATTACTGAGCCTCAGGCTGTTGGTGAACAAACTGCATTCAGAATAGAATTCAGCAAGGAACATGAGGGGTTTCTGAGTTCCAAACTGTGCTGTTTCAATATAAAGTTGTGTGAAAAAGAAAGTACACCCTCTTTGAGTTCTGTGGTTTTATGTATCAGGACATAATAAA